GGGTGGGGGGTGGCATGTTCATAAAAGGGACAGTGAGAACGTGTGTCCCTTTGCCCTCCCTGCCGTACTTCCACTGACCTTGGATCCACCTGACTCTGCACCTACTGGCCTGTACTCTCCCTGCTTCCCGCCTCCCCTGTCTGTCGTCAGCCTGCAGCTCTTTGAGGCAGAGAGGGCTCCGGCTACCATGAGACCCATGGGCTTGAAGTTGGCCTGGGCTGGGCTGCCTTCTTGATATAAAGTTCTTATACATAGCCGACTGTCCCTGCTTGTTTCTGTGGACCCCAGCCTAATCGGCAAAGCCCAGCCGATGCATTTGGACAGTTTATCGGCCAGTTGCTATCAAGGTGATTCTGACTCATGGTGACCCCACGTGTGAGAGTAGAACTGGTCTCCAGAGGATTTTCAATGTCCAGCGTACCGGTCATACACTGCCAGGCCTTTCTTCAGAGGTGACTCGAGGTGGACTCCAAGCTCAATAAACTTTGGTTCCCACAGGCTCTTTGACGCAATGATCTGAGAGAATAGTTTCACACACCGAACTGAACCCACTGCCGTCGGCTCCATTCTGACTCACATCGGCCTTACCAGGGGTTCCTGGGATGTGACCCTCCCTAGGAGCCCATAGCTTCACCTTTCTCCCTCAGGGCACCTGGTGGGTCTGAACCGCTTCGCTGGTGGTCAGCAGGCCAACATTTACTGGACACGATTTGGTTTTGGAACGATCACCTAGCCCTGAATTCCTTCCCCCACCCCCACCCCCACTGGTAGTCTCATTTTACTCCTGCTCACAATTCTGATTTCTACATGAATTTGGATTTTTTTCACTAGAAAGGGTGGGGCCAAGTTACCTCTAGAACTCTGACTTTACAGGCCGTCAGGGTAGCGCGGACTTCCTATCGTAATGTCCTCTTTCGGCCCCCTCCCGCTTCAAAGTTAGGTTCAGAAGGATGGCCTGAGCCTAAGGCTCACACTCCTATTTTTAAAAGCATGTTTTAAAAATCGTGTGTGTTAGCATGACCAGGATGGAATCCTCTGGGAGGAGAATCGCCTATTCCATTTGTTTCTTTATTCTTGCAAACAATTTTAGAGGCAGGGGTGTTCAACTGATTGACACTTCACAAGATTGACATTATTGCTTAAAGTGCTTGGTTACACACTGGAAAGGGGAAATTAAAATACAGGTTATTTTAAATAATTTTTGTAAGCAATCAAATCAAGTGAATGCCACACAAATACAGTTAACTGTTCTGGGTTGGACAGAAATGGAAGCCACAAATAAAGTCATGTAATACTGGCCAAGAGAAAGTTCACGGGGCATAAAACGAAGCACGTGTTCTCCCAGGCCCCTGCCGCTTCCAGGAGTCCACCTCAACAGGGCTGCCGCAGGCCCAGGCCCCCTGGCCTTGGTGGCGGGGAGAGGGGGCAAAGCACTTAGGACCCAATCGTGTACATAGCACAGGAACATACCAAGCTGATCAAAATGCAGTGTTTTTCTGTTTTTAGGGGAAAAGAAGGCTTTATTTAGACAAACAAATGCTAGTCATTTCTGCGTGCTTCTGGACATCAACCAAGAGTTTGTTCTGGTTAAAGTTAGCTTGTCCTTCCTCTCTCGTCTCCAAGAACTCCTCCTCACCTCGATCTCAAGAGTGGGGCTGTGGAGAAACTTCCAGTTCCCAAAAGCTTCCTTCTTCAAGGGCCAGGGCTCCAGGTAGATGACGCACCTCCTAGCCTTGAGCAGATGGCAGTGAACAGAACGTCCTGAGGCTGGAGCCGTTTCACCGGTAGCCAGGCACCGAGATTCTTCTATGAGCCATGAATGCAGTGTTAACAGGCATTCACCCGGAAGCTTTGGGATTCATCAGGATCGGTAGTGAGGTGCTAGGACTTCATCTGATGGTGGGGGCTGGGGAGCAGCGTCAGGGGCGGGGCTCGTTGGAGGCACTGGGCCTATATTACCCACATCCCATCCACCAAGCCATAAGCTCTTCCAGGTGCACACCTTCACAAACGCCTCACCTCTTCGGCGCTCAACACGCGCGTCTTCTCCGAAAACAGCCAAAGAAATGAGGAACGCAGTGTTTAAAGAGGCCATCATCTGGAAGAAAGCCACACTGCAATATCTAGAAATAAGCCCTACGCTCCCATTCGAACAGCGTCCGTTTCACTGTTCAGTATACCCGTAAAGCAAAGGCAAATCATGAAAATAACTGCATAGGGGTCGTTGCTGTCATTTTTTTCTTTTTGTCTCATTCTAAATCCAAAACAGACCGGCCATAGCACCAAGAAGGACTGCGCTACACGTTCAAACCGCCACCCCACTCTCGGCTCTCGGCTCTCGGCCTTGGCCCTCCACCACACCAGTCCTCACCAGCGTGCCCAGCAGCGGCCGCGATCCTGATCTCACAGACTGATGCAGCGTTTTCCCAGGATGTGTTTCTCAGCAAACTACTTTCTCACATACAATACCACTACTTGGATGCCCACCCAGGAAGTAACCAATAAAGCAAAGAAGGCTTCTCTTTTCAAATGCCAAACATTGCCACTTTATAATATCTATCTATATATATGTATGTGTATGTATGTATGTATGTATGTGTATGTATGTATGTATGTGTATATATATATACAGAGAGAGAGAGAGAAACAGCAGGTCAACACTGAGGGACTATTGCTGAGCCTTTGTGCTATAGTGCCCTCAGCGTGGTCTCAGATGCCCCCACCCCAGTTGCTACACTACAAATTAGAATCAAAATTAAAAATCCGTTGCATGTTATTGTCTTTACATAAAATGAAATGACATGGGGGGAGATGGGGATGGGAGCGGGGTGGGGTTACAGCTGCCTAGCATTTCAGTTATTAGAGAGCAAGAGGAAAGATATTACCAGACTGCTAAAGTCTCTAAAAATATTAAAATCAAAACCTTCTAGTATTGCTAGATTGTGCGTTTTGATCTTTTCTCCAACCTTCTTCCCTGCCTCTCAGAATCCTTTGAATGTCTTTACAGCATCTGCCACACTTGTCTCTTTCCATCCGAAAATCCATCTATGGATATGGAATTCTATTCCAAAAGAATCATTCCTGGAATTATAGCTCCAAAGAAACGAGCAACCTAGTGAACATAGGACTTTGTTTGTTTTCTTGGGTTTTGGGGGCAGGGGGCGCAGTTTTTGTTGGTTTCTTTTGATTGTGATTTGGATGAAAGTGTGACTTTACACTTAAGCATGACTTTGATGGGATTCTGATTTAAACAGTTTAGTTAATAAATTAGTCCCAAGTATCATTTCAAACATGGTTTTTTAATGGTTTTGCTTATGAATCAGTTTCCAAATATGTTAATGAGAGATCAGCCGGTATCTATTTTTAAACTTTGTCACCCCGAAGTCACATCGATGGGTGATTACCTAATACAAACATTTCCCGACATCAGTCGTCAACCATTGCAAAGTGCCTCTGCTGAGACACAAAAAGAAAGACTGACCTTTCAGTTCTGCGTGATTACGGCATATCATTACTGGAAGAAATCGGAGAGAAAAAAAAAAAGACAAAAGTATTTATAAATATGAATTGGCCTCTAAACAAGGCAAGGTATTAATATTTCCATCACTCGTATAAAATAATAAGTGAAGACCACCCTGCTTTTGTCTTTTCTCCAGTGAAAAGGAAAACATTTCACCTCGAGTGTGAACACATGAAGTGTGCGCGTGGGCGTGCTCGTCACTTCCATGCTGAGTCACAGACAGTTCAAGATATGTCAGAGAGAAGAAATCCAGTTTTCATTGAGATAAAGTGCCATCCTCTTCATTTTTGCCAGATGGACCCCCAACCATCGTTCGATTTCAGTTCACATTCTGCCAAAAGTTTGCCTGTTCGTTCACCGGTTTATTAGGTAACAAAATAATACGTTCACAGTATAGCATAATGTATGGAAGTTAACGGACATCCCCAAAGAAAGCCAAAATCTCCAACTCATATTTGTAGGAAGCCAAGAACCAGCTCAATGGCCACACGTCCAAATAAACCTTTTTAATAAAAGGTCCTAATACTCAAATGCCCTAATAAATACAGGTAACAGAACAAAACTCAAAACAAGGAAAAAACTAACTATGGTGAGATGAGGTTCTTCCCACTAAAACAAACTCCCTCCTGCAATGCATTTTAGGGGTCTGAGCCAAAGAAACAGCCCCCAATTCGTCCATTCCTCCCCGTGCCCACAGACACTTCCTCTGAGTCCCGGCTCCGCCTTCGTTACCCCGCCCCTTCGCCTCCCGCTCGGGGAGGGCCTCCATTGGCCCTGGGACTTGCAGGGCCTCAGCGAACAGACTGGAGATGCAAACACGGCCACAGCTGTGTGGTGCAGCTGAGCAGCTGTTGGGTGCAGCGCTTCACGGTTCCTGGTGCAAGAATGATCCCAGTGCCGATCGGCTGCGGCGAGCTGTGCCAGGTGCCGCCGAGGTGGAGCCTCAGCCTGACCACCCAGACTTTTGTAGAACATCAGCAGGATGGGCACGATACAGACGTTGAAATGCTTAGTAGTGCCAGGTAAAGGAGAATGACTACTCATGGGACGGTAGAGAAGAGAGGGGGGTTGTTTTTGTTTGTAAGGGTGTCACTAAAACCAACCAACAAAACAGCATACAGTTATTTTCCTGAAATTTCATTTGGGTAGAAAGATTAAGAAAGGTAACTTTGTCCACCAAAGGGTCCTCCCCTGGGCTTTGCCTGCCCTGAGCGCCATACCTTCCTTCGTGGCCCTGGGATTCCACCCGTGGAGCCCCTACCACCGTGAACAGCCTCTCTTCACCCCGGTCCACTCGGAGGATGATTTCAATCTTGAGGTTGCTCGCCCTCTGAGATAGTTTCACTTGTGCAAACTTAAAGCTATGGTTGCTGTCCTAACAAGTGAACATCTGCCTGATTTCTTCTGCTCTTTTGTTGGAAGACCAGACAGAGAAGCTAAAGACGGGTGGCAATGCTTCCAGGGATGAGTTAAGAGGAATGCATTGTAAGGAGACCCCGAAAGCTACTTAAGAAGTTTAGCAAAGACTTCAAGTAGACGGTGGAATATTTCTAAGAAACACCATCCTAATCCAGCCAGGCATAGCAAGCGAAATGCCGGGCACCCAGTCCTTCGATGAGCAAATGTTACTGTATAAATCTCACCACACTCTGACTGCAGTTAACTCTATGTCAGACTATCATAAATCCAAGAGTAGTGCTGCAGGTAATAAAAAGTGGGGGGGAGGGGGACCCTGGGAAAAGTGGGGGGGATGGTGGGGAGAGTCTAACACAGCCAGATCACTGAGACTCGTAGTGATACCACTGGGGGACCACTGGGGAAGGAGAAAAGTCTGCAGAGAAACCAGGGAATAGTGCTTTTTGAACCTTCTCCCCTCTCAAATGAGTTCCACAGCTCTGTCCATTATTCTCTTGACTGATAGAATAAAATATATCCAGATTCTGAATTTTTTGATATGTCTGACGTCAGGCCATAGAATTCTTCGATCGCTTGAGCATCTATTTTCTGCAAGGAAAAGAGACATCAAACGGCACGGTGGTTTAACAAGCTGACTGGGAGAAGCCAAGGAAGACCAGCGAATCACGCAGCAAAGCAACACGACAACTGGGAACTTGTAGCGGCACATGGGCGGAGAAAGGGGAAGCATTACATAAATCTGCAGGGGCTTGGGGAAGAAAGCCACTCTTTTTAACCTGCTAGCAACCCCACGTGAGGATCCTTTGAAGAACCCAGGACTTCTGCCTGTCAGGAGGTAAACTGGGGGCAGGGCAGGGCAGGCTCGGGAATAATTTCGGTTCCTTCTGGGTTCATTCCTTCAGTGCGACTGTCCTCGCACAGCCACCCCAGCAGCGGCTAAAATAGACCGCGTCTCTACGTGTGACCTTCTCCCAGTGAACATTCTTCTAACAACAACAGTACTATAGGATAGACTTCCACAGGAGATCAGGAGGGCCATGCTCAAGCTGGGGAGCGGGGGAAATTTTTTTAAACAGTCATCGATACAAGAGACAGCTCGTACATGAGAGAATTTTAATGGCGCTCTGATGACTCCTGTACCCTGAGAATGCCTTAGGCATGGCACAAAACTTGCAAATCAATACAGGCCATGGTGGCAGAGAGAGACCCCACATCTACGCCAACGAGGTCCCTCTACAAGGGCGTCACATATCCGCGAGCCCATGCCGTGCTCTTTCCTCCCTAGGAAGGTCATCGTGCAGGTAGAGTAGCGGAAACCAGGCCTCCGCCAGAGTCCACGCAGACATGGGCCCGGCCCGGCCCCAGTGGAGCCGGAGGGTCATACCCACCTCTACAATGTCGTCGTCAAACAAAAGCCAGAAGCCGTGGCTTTTCACGATGGTGATGTAATGCCCGCGATTGGGACCGCTGGAAAGGGGAAAAACGTGTCACCACAGGGAGGTAACAAGTTAACCCAAGGCTCTTGGTAAGATGGGATTTCTTAGATCAGTTTTGCAAAACTTGACTTCACTGGGAGAATGGATCCCCACTCTCTGTTCACGTTCACTTGGCCACACGATGACGGGGCACGACTGGCCCGGCCGGACACACGCATGAAACATCTGCCTTCAAAGGCCCCCATCCAGCAGGGAAAGCAGACATTCAATGTCAGCAAATATTAACAAATACTGTAATGAGTGACACTGCTGGGAGTGGAGGGGTGTACAGGGTAGATCTGCTCCCTCGGGCTTCCATGGCCTTTGTGACCTTTCAGGGGCAGATCACAGGGAGGTGGGGTGTGTGCGTCGGGGCCGAACCTCTAAATTCTCAGCTGATAGTCCGGCACTGACCTATCCATCCCACCCGGGGACTTCAGTGCATGTGTAGCTGGGTCCAGTTTGGCCAAGGGACAGCTCCTCCACGGAATGTGAGTAAGCCGTGTCCCACCCCGTGTCCCGCCTCCCCTTACCTGCCACAGTGCACCACGACGGCCACCAGGTCGTACATGCGGTCCAGGTTCACCGCGTCGCTGGAGGTGTTGAAGAGCCGGAGCTCCAGGGGGAAGACCACTCGGTAGGAGAGCTTGGTGTACCTGTGCAGCTGCTCCATGTACTTGAACCGCTTCAGGTGGAGGGCCAGGATCATGGGCAGCTTCTTCACTCTCATCCTAAGGAAGACAGAGTACATCCTCAGCTGCCCCTCAACCTCCGGCGAGGATGGAAGACGCCACACTGGGGCACACATGAAAGAGGGACCAAACAGACCTAAGCAAATACTCACGGCCATCGCAGCGACCCTCTAGGACAGGGTAGAACTGTCCCTGTGGGTCTCCAAGACTGTAATTCTTGATGGGAAGGGAGAGAGCTTCATCTTTCTCCTGCCAAGCAGTAAGTAGTTTCGAACTGCTGACCCTGTGGTTAGTATCCCAACGCATAACCCACTCCTCCACCAGGACACCCTTTACTAAGCAGTCCACTTAAAATACAAGCACGCTTGCTCACCTAGAGCAGTGGTTCTCAACCTTCCTCATGCCGCGACCCTTTCATACAGTTCCTCAAGTGGTGGTGACCCCACCTCCACCATAAAATTTTTTTTGTTGCTACTTCATCGCTGTCATTTTGCGACTGTTATGAATCAAGCAACCTCTGTGAAAGGATCGTTCGACCGGCAAAAGGGTCACGACCCACAGGTTGAGAACCGCTGGCCTAGAGCTTACTCAACCCACGGCCTAGGTTCACTAGAGCTGAGAAAGCGAGACAGACAGATAGAGAGAAGCACACCGATGTGACTGTTTGAAGCAAGTAGGTCTTCATGGGGAACGGCTGCCACCGTCCCCTGCATCTCCGAGAGGAGAATTCGGAGAAGCCAGCCCGCTATGGCAAATGTGGACAGCTCGCGGGGAGGAATCTGGGAGCAGACAAGGTGGTCAGACGCGTGCTGAACACAAAGGTTCTAAAGACCAGCGTGAGCAACCTGCAGAAATCCACACACACCTGGGTCTCTCTCTCTCTCTCAGCTCCTTTGACCTTGGATACGTCAACTGCCCTCATCTGGCTCAGTTTCTTCATGTATACGCTTCCGAAGTTGGCCTAGGGCTGTGCTTCTCAAACAGGGCTCAGCACAAGAGCGGGGTATTGATAGACATGGAGCTCTGGGGCCCGAGAAACTTGGACACTGAGCTCCGAAGGTTGGAAGAAGTCCCGAGGTAAAGAAGAGGCCCTGTTTGATTCGATGGAACGTCTCCCCAACGTCAGTGAGCTTGGAAGCTCCATGGAGCCAGGCTTCAAAACCTCCCCTTCTCCCCACACGCAGTCCCCCCTCGGCGAACAGACCGCCCACCCACCTTTTCTGGGCCTCCTGTTTGCTGCAACAGGTTTCGCAATAGTATTTCTGCTCACTGCACAGCGTCTCTGTGTTGCTGAAGTCCCTGCAGAAGGGGGTAAAATAATGTTTTTCCTTCGGATTTTAAAGAGTTCAAAATGCACCTGCGTAGCACATGGCTACGTCACCACCAGGTGGTGCCCACATTTCAGGGTGCAGTTTGGCGGTTAGAGTTCAGCTTGGAGGCACCTCGGAAGAAGGGCCTGGTGAAGCTCGGGGTCATCCAGAGTCCTGAGGAGCACAGTCCTTTTCTGGTACTCATGGGGGTCGCCAGGAGCTGGAATCCACTCTGGCAACTAGCATCCCTAGAGTCCACACCAACGCATAGCGACCCTACAGCCCGGGGTAGAACTGGCCCCTGTGAGTTTCCGAGACTGTCTATAAGGTGCCTTAAGTGAACATGGGAGAGGAGTAGTCAGCAAAGGGCCTTCCTTAAGACCAGGTGCTATTAGGCCATTAGAGCACATGCCTCCAGGGCTGGGTGACTGTCTCACCATGGGCGCTTTTCAAGCTCTGTGCAAAGGGACACCAAATCCACCATCATTGAGTTGATGCAGACTCTTAACGACCCTATGGGACAGAGCAGAACGATCCCTATGGGTTTCTGAAACTAACTGTATCCTTATTTTATGGGGGGCTTGTACAGCTCTTACCACAATCCATACATCCATTGTGTCAAGCACATTTGTACATATGTTGCCATCATTTTCAAAACATGTTTTTTCTACTTGAGCCCTTGGTATCAGCTCCTCACTTTTCCTCTCCCTCCCCCACCTCCCTTCCCTCATGAACCCTTGATAATTTATAAATTATTATTTTTTCATGTCTTACACTGACTGATGTCTCCCTTCACCCACTTTTCTGTTGTCCATTCCCCTGGGAGAGGGTTATATGTAGGTCATGTGATCAGTTCCCCCTTTCTCCCCACTACCTTCCCTTTCCCGCCTCTTGGTATCACTGCTCTTATTGGTCTTGACGGGTTTATCTGTCCTGGATTTCCTGTGTTTCCAGCTCTTATCTGTATCTGTGTACATGCTCTGGTCTAACTGGATTTGTAAGGTAGAATTGGCTCACAATTGTTGCGGGGGAAGAAGCATTAAAGAACTAGAAGAAAGTTGTGGGTTTCATCGGTGTTCTCTTCCTTGTGACCCTTCTGTAAAGGGATGTCCAGTTGTCTACAGATGGGTTTTGAGTCTCACCCTAATTCACAATGATATGTTATTTTGTTCTGGGTCTTTGATGACTGATACCTGATCCCATCGACACCTCATGATCACACAGGCTGGTGTGTTTCTTCCATGTGGACTTTGTTGTTCCTCAGCTAGATGGCCTCCTGTTTATCTTAAAGCCTTTAAGACCCCAGATGCTGTATCTTTTGATAGCCAGGCACCATCAGCTTTCTTCACCATATTTACTTAGGCACCCATTTTGTCTTCAGTGACCATGTCGGAGGTGAAGATCACAGAAATGGCAGTTTATTAGAACATTGTTCTTGTGTTGAGGGAGTACTTAAGTTGAGGCCTAATGCCCATCTTCCATCTTAATACTTAACATATAAATATATGTACATAGACCTATTTCCCTATTGTTATATACAAATATATTTACATATGTACATGTCTGTATTTAGACCTCTACAAATGTCCTTTGCCTCCTAGTTCTTTCCTCTTTTTCCTTTAACTTTCCTCTTGACCCACTATCACGTTCGGCCTTCATTGGGTTTCAGTAATTCCTCTCCGCTACATTGCGCTTGATCAAGTGCCACCAGGCATCCTATGCCATCCTCGCCATCAATTTTAGATCACTTGAGGCTCCCTTGTCCCTGGGTTGGAATGTCAACCATGACATTCCCCTTTTTTTCCACCACCTCCCCCTCTCCAGTGTCCCCCCAGAATCATTGGTCCCCTCCCCCTCTCCGGTGTCCTCCCAAAATCATTATTTTCTCCTCCAGATTGTTTATCCCGCCTATCTTATCTAGTAGACATGCAGAGACAATAATAAGCACAAAAACAAGACAGAGCAAAACAAAGCAACAAGAGAAAACAAAATGAAACAAAAATCATCAACAAAAAAAGGAAAAGCCTATAAATAGTTCCAAGTCTATTTGTTGACCTTTAGGAGTGTTTTCTGGTCGAGTCTGATGGGGTACCACAACCTGGCCCCCAAATCTATTTTTGGTATTCATCAGGGACTTCATTGCTTTGTTCCCCTTGCTCTGTTGCATGCCCTTAGCAAAACTATAACTCTTTATAGGAGCAAGAAGCCTCCTCTTTCTCCCCAGGAGCAGCTGGTGGTTTTGAGCTGCTGACCTTGGGGTTAGCCACCATATGCATAACCATCGAAACTAGGGTTTCTGGCTGATCCACAGAAACTCAGCAGGGAATAGCCTCTCTCCAAGCTTAAGACAGAATATAGTGGTAGAAAAATATTCACTCATTCACTGCCAATGAGTCAATTCTGACTCATAGTGACCCGGTAGGATGGGGTGGCACTGCCCCTGTTGAGAAAGCCTCGTCTTTCTCCCGTGGAGTGGCTGGTGGTTTTGAAGTGCTGACCGTAAGGTTGGCAACCCCACGAGTTACCACTATGCCATAGGGCTCCTTACAGGAAAACATTACCTACAGTCAAAGTCCACAATAGTCCAAGGGTTGTTACTCTGAAGTGGATGGAACCGAAAAACAAAACATCTTTCTCAGGAAGCCTCTGCATTGTCAAAGATTAGAAAAAAATCATGAGTGAAGCTGAGCTTAGACTGAACTGAGACAGTGCACCCACACCCTACCCACCTTCTCCCCCAAAGGTGCGCTGCCTCCCTGTGAGCATGTGCCACTGTCTGTTCTGCCTGCGTGGACCTTCTCACCAGGAGGGCTTGGTTGTACTACTTATCGTTTTCATTCTTGAAATGCCATTCTTTCCTGGTCATTAAGAGATTCTGCTTAACTTTCTCGTGATGCTGCTTCAAAGGCCAAATCCAGAATAGCATGATACCCAGGAGTCTGGGGAAGAGGCTGTGACGCTTGCTTATTCACAGCCCCAGAAGCATGGATCTTTGTTCCGCAGAAGCCAGTTCCTTAAACTGGGTAAATGACTTAACCACTTGAAGGGAGCGTGTCAGAAGGAAACAGAGAGGGTCTGTTCTGTGTGTTGAATCCCCACACGTCTTGTACACTGGCAGCTCTCCAGGTAGGTGCAGGGAGGTGCTCGGTCTGGCAGACTTGTGCCAAGGAACCATGGACAACATCAAGCACTCAGAGCAGCTTAGCCATAAATCCTTCCGTGAGATTCCACTGCCTCTAGCCCTCCAACATGGCCTTATTCCCGAGGGATAGAATCTGGAGGAAGGGAGCTAACTCCCTGTTATGGGTCTCCAGACTACTATCTACTCCCCCGCCCCCACCTGCCCACCTCCTGCTCCAGCCCTCTCTATCGGCATATATGTACTCATGCATTTAGTGTGTATCAGCAGGTAGGCATTATTATCCTACCAGTTTTACAGGTGAGGAATCTAGTTAGATGAGACATGGATAAGTTAGTGAGTAGCAGAGCAGGATGTGAACTTTAGAAGCCTGGCTTCAGAAACCACATTTTACCCAATGTTCTGGGCTACCCCTTAGTACAAAGCATCTACTTTTATGGTTGTTGTAAATATATCTTTCACATAACTTTTGCCCTCCAGAATGTGAAGTCCCATTTTCCTGCAATTGGGTGCTGGTTTCTGCACTGTTGAATGTGTCCGTGCCTAGCTCCCCACCGAGTTTGAACTGCTGGCTGTTAGCTGGCGGCCATGAGCTTAACCACTGTGCCACCAGGGTGCCTTCCAGCTGGCACGCAGGTGCCCCATAGCACTTGCTGGATGGAAGAACAGAGAGCAAGCACACCGTCCAGAAGGGACATGGGAGCAGGAGGCGGGACTCGGGCATGGATGTTGTTGTTGTTGCTGTTGTTGTTGTTAGGGCCATCGAGTCTGTTCCAACTCACAGAGGCCTATGCACAACAGAAGGAAGCAGTACCCAGTCCTGCCCCATCCTCACAATTGTGGCTCGGTTTGAGCCCATTGGTGCAGACCCTGTGTCAATCCACCTCATCGAGTACCCTCCTCTTTCCCCTTGCCCCCTCTACTTGACCAAACATGATGTCCTCTCTCCAGGGCCTGGTCGATTCCAACGTCTATGGGCCCTGTAGGGCACAGCAGACTTGTTCCATGTTTAAACAGAGCTGAGAGAATGAAGTCTGAATCAGAAGGAGATATCAGACTAGCAGCATCTGCGCTGCCACCAGAGTACAGCGTAGGGAATCACAATACAATCAAGCAAGTCAATGCTGGAGGGAGAGAAGAGATCAGATCCAAAGAAAAGCAAGTGGAGAGATTTACCACACAAGGTGAGGTTCGGGAAGTGAGAAGCAGAGAGGCCAGGAGTACAAAGGCACCTTTGCTTGCACAGGCAGAAAAGAGCACAGCTCAGGATGCAGATTTAGAATTTAGAGCGGCTCATCCTGTTAGAGTTATAGACAGGGAGCCTGACGAGCTGCACCCACATAGGATTCAAGAACAGCACCATACTGCATTTCCCTTTAAGCTACTGAAGTACACCAGACATAAAGGAGAATGCTTTAGTCGTAGAATGATAGGTCATCTTCAAAGAGATTGCAGACAGCACAGGCCAATCAGCCTGGCCGTGAAAAGCAAACTGCGCCCTACGCCAGAGCATGGGCCAGGGCCACCAAAGTATTAAGACTTAGCACCCGCTGTAGGAAGGGAATCATTGAGTGAGTCAATGTTGGTCACGGTTCAGCAATAAAGGATTGCCATTAACAAATGCTTCCCGGCAGGGAAACAGGGGAAGGTGCTTAATTCAAGTCCTGTCCAACAGGGAAAAGCCTCTACCTAACCCAGCAAAAGAATCTTTGAATGGGAGAAATTGCAGGTATGCCCCACCCTCACAGCAGGAGACCAGACCTAACCAAACTTGCGAAAGCCCAGCCTCTGTTCTCGGCTGCAGCAAGTCTGACCAACCAAGAGAAGGCTCAGCAGCCCTCGCTGCAGCC